AGATGTCTCTGTCACAATTAAAGTCTATTGGAAAAAGTATTTTCGGCCCAATGTCATCACATGACACAGCCCCAAGTTGTAGTTACACAGTTTGGCCGCTATGTCCAATTGGCTTCAAAGTCAGGTGCACTTCCTGGAGGCCTGTGTTGAAGCTGCTGCCACAAGGTGGTTTCCAACTGGTGGGTCGCAGTCCACAAGCAGGTCACAGGTTCATTCTGAATGCACCGCAGGTGACTCACAAACATGTCAAGTTTGTAAAAAACACTTTATATTGAAGTACATTGAAGTACCAACACAGAGCTTTTATATTTACGTGCCATTTCCTGCTGTAGACTGAGTAACTAACAGACAGCTACTGGACAGAGACAGCAAGCTAGCTCAACAAGATAACCAAACGCAAGTATGACGCTGAATATATTAAACTGTGTGGAACTTGAACTAATGAGCAACGAGAAATCTGGACCCCGTGGCTGAACCAGTTGGAAGCCACTGCTCTAAAATATAATTGCATGTTGTATCATTAAGCTTTGCAATGACTGGAACTAATATATCAAGTTATGACCATGAGCTCCAGACCAAAGGTACACACAAGTACGCAGACAGGGCTATCCACAACCACGCTGTATAACTCACAAACACAAAGACAAAATCTCAAAGGGGAAAATCCGCCATCTACAGTCCTATCACACTTTTATTTCAGCCCCTGAGGATTTCAACATGTCAAAAGCCAAAAGTTTAGAGACAGGAGAAAGTCTTGTGGTGGCGAGGGGATATGGGAGCCATGTAAGTTGTCTCTGTTCGACATGTGGAGGCGTCCCCTGTGTAGCCCTCTGTTCACTGAGTGTGTTCAGTAGATGTCATGGCTTGCTGCGCTTTGACACCTGCTCAGCTGCCAAGTGTGTGTGTTATGGATGTGTACAGATGTGGATGTGGGAGGTTTAAAAAAAACAAGCACGAACCAACCAAATATCTCAAAAGAAGAAGGCTGTATCTGCTTCTTGTGTTAATTTGTGTGCAGAACATTGTGCGTACGACACAGTGTGAGATCAACAAAATGTATTTAGAGACAGACCGGTCTGACAGCATAAAACCATGACTACGGGTGATGTGAAAATCTCCAGCAAAGTTGAGATTCATAATTCATAGGATAGGTTGCAGGAAACAGTGAGGCGGAGGAGGAAAAAAGGAGAGAGAGAGAGAGAGAGACGGAGCAGGCATTCACTCGAATTCTGCATGAGCAGTCGATGTGAATAAAACATGAATGAATGAAGGTTTGAAAGTTAAACTTCACAGTGCTTTGCGCCGAGCGCGAGACAGGCAGGGAAAAGAGAGAGAGCAGCTTTAGGAGCTGCACCCAAGCATTGAGTGCAGATGTCTGTCAGTCTGTCCCATAAGAAGCGCCTCTGTGGGCAGAGCTGCTGCTGGTGCATTATGGATGAGGGGCTATTTTAAGGCAGCGGGGATGCTGCGTTTTGATTTTTGAGTGGAGGTAGATGACACCTGGCTGCTGCCAAATCCTTTCATGAGGCTCGTACAGTACTTGATGGGTTCAGACATGCAGGTACAGTGTGTGTTCCAACACAGACCTGATCCCTGTTTGAAGTGCGCACACCAGGAGGAGGTAAACAGACTGCTGGGACGCCAGTGAAGTGAGTGATAGTGTCATCAAGCAGCTCTTTGCACAAACACTTTACTTTATGTACAGATAAAGCACACATATATACAGTGTATTACAAATATCTGGGGCAGCTAGTTAGATCACTGAGCAGTTCATTTAACCACAGCACAAGACGGTTTTTCAAGCTGTTAATGTAAATATTACCTGTAAATTTCCAAAAATACATGACATCACTCTGCAGTCCAAAACAAATAAATAAAAGCATGTTCTCTTCTTCATGAAATGAGACATTAAGCAATGATCACTGTTCCAAATGTGATGATGAATAACATAATTATTTGTCATGGGCATGCATGTTCATGCTGCCAGCTTTAAATTGGGTGTTCAATGCCTTTAACACTTTACATATTGTTTACAAAGTGCCAGAGGTGGGACCAAGTCATTGTTTTGCAAGTCACAAGTCAATACTGACAAGTCCCAAGTCCTAAACTTTGAGTTTCAAGTCCTAAACGACTAATAATGCGCTCTACACCAATTGTTCTGCCATTTTAACAATAGAATAATGATATATTAAGTTTACAAAAATCAGGAATACTTTTCTTTGTTAAAACAAGTGTGTTGGAAGTTGTTGTGTCTCCATCTGTAATTTTTTTTTGTTGGCCATCAAGTAGTTTTTGTACGTGAACAAAATTATCTTTGGTATCTTTTTTCCCCAACTAGCTCAGTAATGTAAGATTAGGTCTTTATGATTCTCCCTTACAGTATGTCTGGATGCTGTCAGATTGATTCAAACAAACATTTTAATCTTTGGGCCTGGAGAAAGGTATCAAGTACTTTTGTCTTTTTCCTGTCGAGTCTAAAGTTATCAAATTTGGTTTTCAGTTCTAACTCGAGTTCAAGTCGTGTGACTCCAGTCCACACCACTATGAAGTTCCATTTATCATCAATAAACAACACAAATTTAGTCTCGGCACTACTGCAATGGGAAGAATTGAATATGCAGGAAATGCACCAAACTCCAGTCTTGTTTTCCGTCTCATGCTGCAACCTAAAACCTTTGATCAATGATGTGACAAATAAGTGAGACAAATTTTGCTGGTTACTTTACTTTTCAAAGAACTCTGCTCAGTAACTTTTCTCTTTCCTCAGTATTTTTCTAAAGTAAGTATGTCATACCTCACTAAATGTTATATAATGGCACAAATTGCGTAAGTCATTTGCAGTCAAGACAAGATGTTTAATTTGAAGAGTGAAACCTTGTTCAACAAGATGCTAGAGAGACTTTTAGCACTCTGGCACACCGGATTAATCTAGTGCAGAGACTCGACCCCCTGCAGTTTGCCTACCAGACACACACTGAAGCAAATGTTGAAATCATCTAGCTCCTCTAGAGGACCTTTTCCCAGCTGGATAAGAATGGCAGCACAGTCAAAATCATGTGCTTTGACTTTTCAAGCACCTTCAAAACAGTCCAGGCCCTCTGGGTGGGAAACAAGCTCATAGAGATGCAGATGGACGCCCCAAAGGTGTCCTGGATCATGGATTATCTCACAGGTGGGCCTCAGTTTGTCAAGCTTCAGAAGTTTGTGTTAATTATGGAAAATGCAGAATCATTCTCTCTGATTATTTCTTCTATTAATCAGACCGGAAAGAGTAACCTAAAAATTGAGTTAATGGCTGGGATGATCAGGGTTAAGCAAGTCATCAACTCTCAAACACATTGATGTATTACTGAGCACAGGCTCAGGGGCTGAAAGTGTCAGGGAGCCTCCCTGGCCTTCACCTGAAAAATGTTGCTCAAATTAATACGTACCAACTGAGAAGATATTCAGAATAACGACAAAGAGATACAAAAAGATGCAAAGGAACAGCAAAGAGACACAAAACAACTACAGATAGACACAGAATGATCAAAAAAAGACCATAAATTACTTCAAAGAGATGCAAAACAACGACAATAAACGACCAAAATAAGACCCAAAATTACCTCAAAGAGACGCGAAACAACTACAAATAGACACAGAACGACCAAAAAAGACCAAAAATTACCACAAAGAGATGCAAAACAACTACAAATAGACACAGAACGACGAAAAAACAAGACCCCAAATTACCTCAAAAAGATGCAAAACAACTACAAATAGACGCTAAACTACCACAACCAGACACAAAATTACCACAGAGATACCAAACCACAAAATGATAGATAACAACTACACCACAAAGTCTGTGGGTCTCCTATGTAGGAAAGGTGGTGGGGGCCTTTTGCATATCTGTGCCCAGGGGCTCATTGTCTCATATTCCACCCATGTTAAAACAAACACACACAAAAACAGACAAAACAGCCTAAAATATTAAACACTATAGGTTTTGTGGCTTATTGAGGATTGCATCATTATTTCATCACACTTTTCTTCATAATAACAGAATCCTCTGTCCTCTATTCACCAGCTATTAGTGGATCACATTCGCACACCAAGAGAGCATAACTACATTTGGAAACACACAGGGATTACAATTCTGAGTCATTGAGCTGAATTACATCATGCGCATGCATATTGCATTTACAGCTTTTACGTCATCAATTGCTACACATGACAACATTGTTACAGAAGGAAGGTCCACTCTATATTCCCCTTTATTATGTAGGTGTGTATTTCCCAAAGGTATTCATTTTGTTTTGTGAATATGAATCTTTTCCTGATGCCATTCTGTTGCAAAAAGTAATAAAAGTATACAGTAAGAATATAATTATGACATAAACTTCATAAGCATGCACGTATAAGTCACGTGTAGTGCCATGGATTGAAGAGTAGAGGAATATGAATGTTTTTCTCATTCAAATATATGTAAAACCTGATTTATTACCCTCTCACTGCATGTTTGATATGTGACAAAATCATTATTATATCTTAAATGCAATTACTGTAGCTCACCCTGGAGCAGAGCTGTAATTATTTTTCCCATAACCTAATAAATGATAAGGTGGAAGCTTTAACAGTCCAACAGAGCTGGATTTTCATCTGTTGCTCCTGCTGACCAATTATTTCATGCACATGTTTACTGTGAACATTTAAAATCAAGCTACATCTATCTGTCCCTAATTTCATGTGGCAGACTGACAGTGCCAACAACAGCATGCCGAGACTCCTCCGAAGTGAAAGATTCCCGGTGAGGTCAGCGTGCCTGATTTAATTATCGGTATCCCAACAAGAACCTGCTCCTACCTTTTAGTGCTTGTTTATGTCTGGAGGTGCAGTAATGAAGGGCTACACGACGTATGCAGCTTGTTTTCAAACCCCTTTCTTCTCATTCATTTGTTAATTACCTCCATCATCCCTGAAGAGATCCAAAAAGAAGAGACAAACTGAAAACAACCCACCTCGTTGAGCAGAAAGACGCTTGAATTGGTCAGGGACATCCGCAGTTAACGGGGATCTCGGTCACCTCAGCCCAACTTGGGTGAAAAAACCACAGTGTCTTTTTTTGTTTTACGGTAAAAGGCATCAACTAAAGACAGAGCACCGCGCCTCGTCCCAACATTTCCACAAGACGCGAGAGAAAACGGCTCGGCTGCTGCTCAGCGCCTCATTGGGATGTGGAGCTCCGGCGGCATCTGAGCTGTAAAATCTCTTGTTTCTGGATTCACGGCATGATCAATGACTGTACACAAAGCCATAGGCACGGACACACGGATGGATAGATTACAGCTTTCTTAATAAATTATGCAAGACCTGCACTTTTCACACAGCCAAGTCCCCGAGAATTTTCTGCGGCTTTTTCTTTTTTCCCACCAGGATTTCTATTTTTGAATTTGAATATGTGATGATGGTCTGTGAGTTTGCCCTCAGCTCCCTTGAAAATGTGCCCTATTTCTATTTTTATTAGATTTAACAGCATTAATTCATATTAACAGAATTAAACTGGATGCAAATATATGAATGACATGGGATGAGCCATTACGCACACGGAGAAGATTATTATAGTCCACACTGTTATGTAATTGTCAGAGTCTGAGAGGTTCCCATATTTCCTTTTGTTATAGTTTGGTTGAGGTGCTGTTTTCAGCGGAAGGAGACGTCTTGTGTTCGCTGGCTGAGGATGTCCAGGCAGGCAGGCAGGGGTGAGATGCGGGTCTTCTCGGTTTTCACTGATCCAGCACTTTGGCCCCCTCACATCCTGTAAACGCATTCCATTTACACAGGGCCAATCGACCGCCCCAGTCAGGTATACTGCCAATGTCAAAAAGACAGGATAATGTCACTGTACACACACACACACACACACACACTGGAGCACCTTTTGTGGTTTGTGATTACTCACACAGCCCTGGGTTGAAGCAGCTTGTTTGAGTTTGTGACAACCTGGGACAAGCAGAAATAACGTTTGGCAAAATCCACTGCAAGTCAGATTTGAAGATCACCTCCATACATGTTCCAAGACACATATAAAATACTTGCAAAATAATTTGTGTCCCCACAAATTCAGATATTGAATTAAAAACTCCTAAAATTATACCTTGGGGAGAGGGATGGTTGTAACATCACCACAGTCGCTAAAAAGGGATGACTTGAGCATCATGCATCGGTGTAGATTTCCAGGTGTCGCAAGGGACGAATCCCCCTCAGTAAGTAGAACATGTAGGCTATATTTATATTGTCACTACAATGTGACAGTAGCAGCAATAATGACAAGATGTCTCATGAAAATATCAGCGGTAGGGAAGAATTGAGCCCAGTCTCATCGAAGTCATCGGAATCTGATGCTTGGACAGAGACTTGCGCTGTCAGAAACCAACGGAAAAGGTGTCCATTAACGTCGGCATGATATGCAGCTGGTTGCCATTATAATTTAACGGGGCCTGGTGGTGTCAGGGGGAAACATAGCAGGACAAGGACAAAAGTTATGGTGGCGAAAGTCCGACTGGGGAGGATGAGAGGGGTGATGGATGGGTCCAACATACACTGACTTTCACCCAAGAGAGCGGTGTTTGTGTCCCGTAAGATTCTAAAGCCAAACCCTGTTTTTTTTTCCTAAACCTAACCACATGCAGCTACGACATCACTTCTTCATGCCTCCTTTGCTTTTATATACAGAAGCAAACAACATCACGCTGCTCCTTTGTGTGATTATACACTGTATCAGCAGCAGTGCTTTCAACATCAACAACGATATAACGTCAATCACAATCATTTATTTTTGTCATATTGCATTTGATCTTGTCCTCTGAGAGTAAGGAGCTCCCGAATCTCATTGTTTTCCCGATTTGTGGACATTTACAGCTGCTGTTCTTCATCTTTGAGTTAGCCACTAGTTGCTACCAGCTGCTTTTTAAATCTTCTGCGGTGGGTTGCCAACATAATGTGTAATCAAAACGTCACACCTGTTCCATCCACCATCACATCCAGCTTTACATTTTACACAGACCTCGTTTTGGGGCTGTTACTACTCTGTTCCCGGCTCAGAGGCAAGACCACCTTGTGCCCCCTTTCCGCGATTGTACCTCACAGAAAGGCAAGGCGGCATAATGGCATGATATTCCAGCCTTGAACAGGCAGTGTAAAAGTGGCTACAGTGTACGGGCGGAGGAGCTGCATGATGTAAGAAGGGGCATGGCCATTAACCAGTATATAGACGAACATCAGAATCTTAAAATTTATCCTATAGCTAACAGACAATAGGGGTGACGTGCTCCCTTTTCTGACCTTGTTAAAACTCTTGCTGCTGCATTTTGGACTAGTTACAAACAGGATATAATAATACAAAAATATAATGAGTTGCAATAATCTAGGTGGGAGGATATGAAGGCATGGATGACATTCTCCAATGTCAGAAGTATAGAGAATTGAGCTGAGTTTGGAGATGTGCAAAGCTGCGTGAGACTTAATTTTTCTACTTGACTGATATATTTGTCTAGCTTCAATTCAGAATCAAATATGACCCCAAGATTTTTTACATGTTATTTCACTGAGGGTGTGAAGATAGGGGGAAATAATGTTAGTCAAGTGCTGTGGTCCCAAAAAATAACTTAAGTTTTACTGTCATGGAGCTGGAGAAAATTTGCAGCCATCCAGAATTTGATGAAGACGTTTATTGAGGTCAGTTAGGTTGCTCTTGTTGTTCGGCTCTGAGTAGAGGTATATCTGTGTGACATCCACATAACAGTGAAAAGATATGTTTTTGAATATTATGGCCTAGCAGAAGAAAATAAATGGAAAAGAGCACTGGACCAAGTATGGCACCTTGGGGTACACCACAGGAGACAAGTAAGGAAATTAGTTACTGACAGAGACAATGAGGGCTCCGTTGACGAGAACCAGATTAAAGCAGAACCAGAGACCCCCACTCATTCCTTGAATCTGTGAATGAGAATAGAGTGATCAAAGTGTCAGAGACTGCAGTCAGATCTAGGAGCAAGAGAATGGAGCAGTTACCCGTGTCAGCAGCTAGGAGGAGGTCATTCATTTTTCTTAGTACAGCTGATCCAGTGAAGAGCTCTGAAACAGATTGGAGATGTTCAAAAATGCAGTTTTAGGCAGGTGGGACAACAGTTAAAAAACAACTTAAAACAGGGCGTTGGTGGCTTAGTGGTAGAGCAGGCACCCCATGTACAAGGCTGTTGCCGCAGCAACCCGGGTTCGAGTCCAGCCTGTGGCCCTTTGCTGCATGTCATCCCCTCCCTCTCTCCCCCTTTCACACTTAACTGTCCTGTCCATTAAAGGCAAAAAATGCCCCAAAAAAATCTAAAAAAAAAAAAAGAACTACTTAAAACAAGAGTTTTAGAAAGAAAATGTAGTTTGAATATTGGTCTGTAGTTATTTGTATATATTAATGAAAACATGAAAGTAGCAGAGGACTTTTATTTTGATAAAATTAAAGACATTTACACCTTAAATTGATGCAGAAAATGCAAATGTTTGTGCATAGAAAAACTCAAAATTTTCTAGCAGAGCACCCTCCTTTTCATATGTGAAATGTAATAGCTGTGAAAAGAGGTTACAGATTTTACAGCCAAAACTTATGAAAGTAAAAAAAAAAGGTATGAAAGTATTTTTTTGGACCAAGTCAATATTTTGATTAGTCTTGATACTGTTGAAGTTGGATTTATGTAACTTGTATAAGATTAGAAAGTCATGTCAAAATGTGAGGCAGTTCATCTATATGCTCATTTCAACCCCCCGTGCTGCTGCAGCTAGCCAAACAATGGCTGACAGGGGGCATTGTTGTTACAACTTTTAAAAAGTGCTGCAAACTGACCATGACAGCAAGATAGATACTTGCAGATACTGCAAGACATTTCCTCAGAGAACAAATAAACACAGCTGCCCTGTGTGGGTGATCACAGGAGTTATAAAGTCTTCAGTGTGCAGCGAGAGGATGTCCTGACTGACACAGCAGACTCACTCCATATGAAGTACTAAGCATATGAAGTAGGAATTTGTTGTTGTATCAGTTTTTAGTGTGTGTTTTTTGGAAATACTCCAGTACTGAGGCAGGGTGTAACAATGGAGCTTGATGTTTCTGACATCAGTTAATGATTCTGTATGGAGAAGTTGGAAACATTGCTTTTTGTAGTAGACAAATAAGGGCACCTTGAGTCAAAATTTAAGAGCTCAACGAAAAAATTCAGCAAGTTATAGGTGCTGAGACAAAAAAAAGTTACAACCATCTCCAGTCTCCAGTACTCCTTTTCAAAATCCAGAATCAGACTATGTAAATATTGTTTATTTATACATTTTAAACATTAAACTACTGGACACAAGAGTTCTCCTACTTCTTTGTAAAGTTCATCCTCAGTGTTTGTGCACAGGATGCTCAAACCCAGCCAGCATTGGTCACATGGGTCATGCTGGGGGGCTACCTGGGTACAAAGTGGGTATGGGTCCAAAATGGGCATCTTAGCTGGGGCCCACTTGGTAAACCCACCCATGTGGGCAAATGGGGCTGTCACAGCCCAGCTCAAAAGCTATGACAAGCACGGGAGACAAACGAGCTGGCTGACAATAATGATAATTTATTTACAATAAAAAATAAGTTAAATCAAACCACAACTTATATAGTCAGTAATCAGTCATGAGGTGCATGTGTGAGTGCGTGGCAGTGTGTGTATGTGTGGAAAACAAAGAAGAAAACCCAGAGCTGTCCTTGGGCCAAGAGAGAGAGAGTGAGAATGACAGCAAAGGGAGTATTTATGCTGGAGAACACACCGGGCCCAGGTGTGGCTCAGTCAGCCATAGACCCTCCATTTAGCTCCTGCAACACAGACTAAAATGAGCAAGAGAGCCATCTAGAGTATGGGAGGAGGGTCGTCACAGGGCCAATATAGTCCCATAAAGGGCCCATTTTTCAGCCCATTTACCACCCACATACAAATGTTGGCTTGGAAGTTTCATACTCAAAGTCAAAGTCAAAGTCCATTTATCTGTCTCCCTTGGGAGAAATTTGGATTGGAGACAGGGTACTGCTGCTTTAAACAACACAAAACATACAACTGGTAACCAGATAGGGACCAATGTGCAAAAGATATTTGCTCATCTGAGCTGTGCAATTTGCCATGCCTTCGCGTTGAGTTAAGGTGCTGGTACACATTAGAGTGCTAGTACATATTAAAATGCTGGTACACATTAGAGTGCTGGTACATATTAAAGTGCTGG